CTACTCTAATTCGCAATTGGTTGTTAGCCAATACCATGGTGACGACTATGAAGCCACCCATATATCCGGTTATGATCAAATATTTTCAGGCGGTCAAAGATAAGGCTGGGACACTTGATGAGTTTCATCTAAGTCAAGTGCCCTAGTCAGGCGGATGCCTTTTCATAATTGGCATCATCCGCCTCCTGTGATACACCCTAGTCAGTCTTTTGGGAAGTGATGGAAAAACGAAGTATTTAAGAGGATCCCATTAATGTTCTAGATCGGAGCTCAACTTGGATGGATGGCATCCGAGCTTACCTGCTAGACCGAACTCTGCCGGATACATATCCAGGGATGGTCTCCATGAAAAATCATGCGGCCAAATTTGAAATCCACACAGGAGAGATAATCAAGAAGGGTTTCTTAAAGACGCTTTTGAAATGCATCACCCTAGAATGAGGGCATGAAATTCTGGAGGACTTACGTTCAGGTAACTGTGCCTCACATATAGGCGGCAAAACCCTAGAAGGTCCGGCCACCCGGCAAGGCTACTTTTGGCCTACCATGGAAGAAGATGCCATGGAAATGATGAAGAAGTCTGACTAGTGTCAAAGGTTTGGCAAGCTCATACACCGTCCGGCAACTGATCTAACGACAATTCATAGCCCAGTGCCATTCGCCAAACGGAGCATGCACATCTTGTGTTCGTATACGCCTGCGTTAGGCAAAAGGCGGTACATTCTAGTAGCTGTCAACTACTTCACCAAATGGGTTGAGGCAGAGGCGGTCATTTCTATGTCATTTCTTTCATTTGGAAGAACATCATAACCCAGTATGGGGTTCCTATGTCTATGGTATTTGACAATGGCCCTCAATTTGAGACGCCCACTCTCAAGAACTGGCTGGGGGAGCAAGGAATTTCCCACTGCTTTGCATCCGTCAGCTGGCCTCAAGCAAATGGTCAGGTTGAAGTTTTCAACAAAGTCATCTCAGACGGCATTAAAAAGAAAATTGAGAGAGTCGGCGGTCTGTGCGCTGAGGAATTGATTCATGTACTTTGGTCCATCAGAACAACGATAAAAGGAGCAACCGGTGAAACCCCATTCTTCATGGTATACGGCGCGGAGGTCGTCTTACCCATTGAGCTTTATGAGCCGACTCTTCGAGTCATATTGTATGATGAAGATGCCAATTGGGAAGCCATGAGGCTAGCATTGGACTTCCTACCAAAACGCCGGGCAAATGCCACCTTACGCCATGTAATCTTTCTTCTGATAATGACAAGAGCCTACAACAAACGAGTACACAAACAGCCCTTGAAAGTGGCGGACTTTGTGCTACGCAACATGGAGGCAACCAGTAGGGCCAATGAGCAAGGCAAGTTAACACCCAATTGGGAAGGTCCTTACCGAATTTATGAAGAAGTAAGAGGCGACACCTACCACCTGGAAACACCAGATGGCAGGTAGCTAGCCAAAACTTGGAATGTAGATAACTTGAAAAAGTATTATTTCTGAGCTATGTAAATATTGTAAATGAAAGGCTTAAGTAAAATAATGAAAATAGCTTTGTTGTTTCAATTTTGTACTTACCTTATTTGTATTACTATTAGATACGTCTCCTGATGGGAGAAGTACCATCTGTGATATGTACGTACAAATGGAAAATCTAATCCAACTGTCTACTTTGATAAAGTAAACCACATTTGATGACATCTATTCGGGTGACTTCGCTTATAGAGAGCATCTCCCATTCGGGTGGCACATTGCTTTATATTATAAACACGCTCCTCAAGGGACCTATCCAATTTTCCTATATAGAATAGTCGACGGACGTTTGTAATTGTCAAAACTACCCAACTGGTAAAAGGAGTCGTTTGTCCTATGGGATATCAGACGGCCTTCTACTGTTGGTATACTTAGCTTACGTAAATTAACTTGGTTTGATTTCATAATAATTGAACTAAGTCAAGTGGCACTCAAGTGAGCCAATTAGTATAGACAACGGGACCATACAACCTGCCCTAAGTGGCAGAGGCGGCCCAAAGTCGCCTGCACTTATTTTTTCTTTGACCAATTGGTCTTGCAAAAGCACTTTCAAAAGGCTAAGTCTAAAGACTTAGCAATCACAAGCAATCTTACAACCCTTAGTGGTTGTTTGTTTTATTAAATACGAGTCCGTCCTATGGATTGGATGCGGCAGATGGCCGTCTAATAACTAAAACATTTACCCTCTGCTTGATGGACGATTGTCCACTGGGTTTGGGGCAATCACCATAGCGATTGATTAACTTTGAAATTAGTCATACTCTTCAAGTATCAAAAATTTTGAAGTCAATCAACCCACTTTTCAAACCAATTGTACAGCCGTCCACGGGCAAGAACATCCCGGTATACAAGGACCGCATGTATGGATTGTGACAAAGATAGTTAAATTCATGCATAGCGAAAATTCCAAAAACTTGAATAAATACAAAACAGTGAAACAAAATCGACCACAGTCGGCGGATTCATAGATATTAACACCGATACTACGGTCGGCAAAAGTTGAAATTGTTAACCGGTATACCAACTGGCAGAAAGAAACTGTTAAACCCGACTCAGTGAAGTTACATAAATACACAACACGCAGGCCGGAGAAGTTAAATTTTAAGCCATCCCTTCAATGAAAGATAAAAAGCTTAATTTGTTGGAGGGGGGAGCTGCTCTTCATTGCCATCCGGCTTCTCACCTTCAATAGTCGAATGCTCTTCATCATGCTCAAGCTATTCATCCTTGGTCGAGTCTACATCCTCGGCCGCCTCCTCCATCCCTTGCGGCTGCTGCTGGGCGTCAAGCTCGTCTATGGCCACTACATACTGATATGACCGGGAGTAGTCGCCCTCCGAAAAAAGAGACTTGAAGGTCATGTTCATGCGTGTTTCCCAGTCCGCCTTCACTTGCTGATTTGGCGGTGGGTGGCAGGTAGGCTTTTTGCTGGAAAAGACGTGTTCTATAGGTTGTCTCAAAGAATAAGCCAAACTGTTAGTAAAAAAAAAAAAAAAACACAACAACAAAACATCAAGACTTGGGAAAATTGCTAAGTGTAGTTGCACATTTGGCCGTCTACCTCTAGGCTTCTAGGTATTAAGGCCACAAGCGGTCAAATAGGTGTCGTCTGCCAACCACTCAAACTTGGGAATGTAGCTATGGGGAATTATCTCCTTTTCTTTCTTCCCCTTTATAGTTCTTGTGGTGACTTTGAAGAAGCCAAGCGTAAGGATCTAGTCCCAGCCTTTGCCAGGGACAAGCGATAAAGTTGTCTTCTGCCATAGGAGATAGGGCTTCTAGTTCCAGGAGTTAAACTTTCGGTTCATCCAGGTGTCTAATATAGAAATAATAAAAAATACTTGTTCCGCCAGTCCTTCCACTTAGACTCCTTGCCAACGGACGCCATATACCCCTTGTGGGGGGTCAGGATATACCAACTGCCTGCCTTAGGCACTTTTCTGAGATAGTGCATGTGGGCGAATGCCTCGAAGCCTGGCTCCACGCTGAGCATTTCAAAGGTAGGAATATACCCCAGTATGTTTTATCCAAGTGGGGTGAGTTGCCAGATACCCATGCGATATCCATCAAGGATCTTCTCCAAAGTCGGGTGGAGGAAAATCGGAGGCCAGCTTGAATGACCGCTTCATAACAACCGAAGCACATATCATTAATAATATATGCACAATCTTTACAAGAATAATGAACTTTTAGTGAAATAATTATTCATATGAGATAAGTTGGTTCATTGACAGGAACACACTAATTTGAGTTAGTTATTAATCAAATGCGTGTTCATAGATTCGACTTATTTCACCCTAGAAACTCCCATATCAATTTTGATCTAAAATTAAAATAAAAGTAAAGATTAATTTGATTTTGGAATTTGTGATTGAATTTACCAACTTGTAAAAATTTCCTTCAACAATACTTGAATTAATTAAAAAACAATTCACTCAAAAGTCCAAAGGTTTGAGGGAAGGGACGGGATTTTCGACGGGAGTAAGAAAGACTAGAGAGAGAGAGAAAAAAAAAGGTGGGAAAAAGATGACATGGGTTGGAGGAGATAGACGTTGGATCTGCATTTGATCTGAGAATAAGAAAATAGGGAAGTTTGATGAATATGGAGGAAAGAGAAGGGGAAATATATGGGAAAGAAAAAGGAATTCGGGAAAAGAATGAAGCTTTTCATATTATTTACACTTTTGCCATTAATGAAGCATGTAATTAGAGCCATTAGATCTTTTTATTTGAACATTTGAGATTCCTTCTCATTCTTCTCATTATAAAGTCCTTCTCGTTTAACCCTAAGAAATGAGAAAATCACTAATCCATTGACACATCATCTTGGTTTAAAATTCAAATTCCTTCCTCTTTTCATTCTTAAGTTTCTCAAATTTTTACAATGACCTGTGTTAGGATATTATTAGCTTTCTCATTTTCTTATTTCTCATTCTAGCAATTGGGGAATGATGTTAGAATAAGAAATGAGAAAATGAGAAAACCACTGATCCATTCACACATTAAACAAACATTTATTACACTGATTTACTCATGAATTGTCGATAAATTTTCAACTTAATATTAGAAAAAGAAGTATATTAACTGCTTATGTGCAACCCTAAAGCTTCTATGTATATGTATAGTGTTACACTTAAAAAAAACAAAATGGGTAAATAGATCTTTACTTTGACTAATTATTTTAATTCGGCTTCAAAGATGAAACTTGCAATGATATATCAATCAGTTTTGCTCACATCAACTAATAAGGATTAGTCTAATATATATGGAGTAAACACCTTATTGCTAGTGGTGTCAATTCGGATGATCGGATCTGGTCTGATGAGGTCGGGTCGGGTTGGGTCAATTTTTAAAGTTGAGTCATGCTAAAATATTATGTGCACGCAAGTCCAAAACTGAATCAGATATTTTTCAAGTCGATTTCGGATCGGGTCAGGTTGGGTGTGGTTTTGACACCTCTACTTATTACAGATAGTTTGTAGGTGTTCCAGAAGTGGAGATGCACATACAACAACTCTTTCTATATTAACCATGGTCTCAGAATACACTTGGGAAGCAAAAGTGGCCCTCACTCTTACAGCCTTCACTGCGTATTATGGTGATTTCTGGTTAATTGCCCAACTCTATGCAGCAGACCCATCGGCAAAGCCTGTTGCAATCCTTAACCAACTTCCCGAGTCAATGGAGCACCCATTTTCCTACAAACCTAAATTTGAAGCAATTGACAATCTACTCAGAGCCATAGTAAATGTTAGCAAATTGGTCGCGGAATTCAAGGAAACCCTACGCGGTTTGCACAGCACTAAAGATACACCGGCATATAAAAGTGCTAATGCTGTGATCCCGAGAGCTGCTTACTGGATCATCAGGAGTATGGTAGCTTGTGCATCACAATTTGCAGGTCTAATAAGCATAAGTAATGAGTAAGTTATCTAGTCTATATATATATAAACCTCATGATTTACATATTCTTTAATCATTTATTAGAATTAACATACATAAAGGACCAACTCAACTAAAAGTTTAATCTAATGGTTGTACTACAGGAATATGTTATACTATCTTTGTTTTTGTTTTTCTAGCTTTTTTCTGCATCACTTTCCTAAAATGGAACTTTTAAATTAGTTGCATTACTTTCTCTTTTAGTTAATAAACTCTATCTATACCTCTCCTCTTATATGGGCTAATTTTTTTTTATTTCTCTATCTCACGCCCCTAGCATTAGAGCTCGTTGGGCTTAAAACGAATGGTGGATGAGATTCAAATCTATGACTTATGTGTCACTTTGGCTCTAATACCATGTTGAAAAATCATCTCAACCAAAAGATTAAGCTAATGGTTGAAGCCTAGGATCGATTTATATATTTTATAATGGCCCCTCTTATGAGAAATCAAAAGCTTAATCTGATGGTTGATGCCTAGGAATTTGTTATTATATACTCTATCAATTTCTACCTATAGATTGAGTTTGAGGAAACCTAACTCATATTATTACCTCTAACACAAGACATCTGAGTTCATAACATTAGCCATGATGTTGATGAGTCATCAATGAGAAATCTATTAAGAGAACTACTCCCTCCGTTTTTAAATACTTGTTTTATTTCTCCATGCACGGAGTTTTAGGAGAAATTGGAGAAAGTAATAAAATATGAAAGTAGTGGGGTAGGTAAAAAAATAAAAAAAAATTGTAAAAAGCAAAAGTAGTTGAGAGTATTGAAAGAGAGATAATATGAAATTAAAATATGATTATTTTGGGTCTACTAGTTGAGAGCAATGAATTAAATATTGTAAAAACTTTCCAAAGAAGGAAATGGAGCAAGTATTTAAAAACGGCCAAAAATATAAAGTGAAACAAGTATTTAAAAACGGAGGGAGTACTATTAACTGGACAAGATATAAGAAGTAATAGCAACATTTTGTTGTTTGAAAGCATACTTTACTATTTATTTGTTTTTATTTATTATTGCTTCCCATCTTAGAATGAAATATCACTAGCTGTTAACAAGCAAAAGTGATGATTGTATACGATCAGGTATATACCGTCAACAACAGAGGCTTGGGAGCTAGATAACCTACAAATGGACCTATACAAGTTGCTGATTAATCATACATTTGATACTCCCCAAGTTGACAACATGAAAATCCTCCAGCTTCTGACTTATTCCAAGGAATATCAATTGCTCCTTTGGGATTGTTCTGCAAAACAAAGGGTCGGTTCGCATGCGTAGACTCTTTACTTGTCTCTTACGTCGTCGTTGCCCAAACTTAACTTCGTTTACTTTAAAGATTGAGCAGTTTATAGCTACAAAAGTACAAATAGATTAACTTAAAACTGACCTCAAACATTTCGTGCAGAAAAGCATAGATGTATTGAGGAGAAGATTAGTTCTACTACTCATTTCAGATCTCGACTTATCCCTAGAAGAACTTTCGATTCTTGAACAAATGTACCAAGAATCAAGGCAACACCCAGCAAGGATGGAAAGTCAATATGAAATATTGTGGCTCCCGGTGATCGATAGCTCTGCCCCTTGGAATGATGAAAAAAAAAGACAGTTTGAAGCTCTACAATCAATGATGCCTTGGTACACTGTTCATCACCTTTCACTAATTGACCCTGTAGTTCTTAACTACATAAAGGAGGTGTGGCACTTCGACAAGAAGCCTATGCTTGTTGTCTTGGATCCTCAAGGCCGAATCACAAACCCCAATGCTCTTCACATGATGTGGATTTGGGGGTCTATGGCATTTCCTTTCACTAGAGCAAGAGAAGAAGCTCTTTGGAGAGAAGAGTATTGGAGGCTCGATTTATTAGCAGATGCCATTGAACCAATGATGTTCCAATGGGTATGACAATCCGATCCGTCCTTTTCTTAGACCCTCACTTTGTCATTGTTCATATATGTGCACGTTTTATAGTTCTATAATGTGACGTGCCAAGAAAACATCAATTTACAAACGGGGATGTTCCGGTTTCTCGTAGTGAGAAACAAAATTTGTTTCTTATATGGCATTTTTGTAAATGAACCAATAACTTTATTAAACTTTATTCAATTGTGGATCCCACAATAATAATAAAGTTGTTGATTTATTCACGAGAATGCCCCATAAGAAACAAATTTCGTTTCTCACTATAAGTAACAGGAAATTTCCCTTTACAAATATATGACATGACTAACTAGCATCAATTTACAATTGCATCATATATCAAACAGATAGATAAGTTAAATAAAAGTGTAACATATGGTTAGTCATCATGCAACCAGAAAAGATAGTTTTTAGTTTAATGCGACGATACCAAAAGCAAAACAATTGCTGTAAGAGCATGAAGTCTTTTTATTCTTTATCTTTTTTAATATTCAGCTCATGATTCTACTTTGTAACAGATACAGGAGGAAAAATTTATTTGCTTGTATGGAGGAGAAGACTTGGACTGGATACAGAAATTTACCGCCAAATTACATGATACTGCCAGAGCTGCTCCAATCGAACTTGAGATGTTGTATGTTGGTAGAAGCAACCCTAAGGAAAAAATTCGTAAGAATAATGACGTGATTGCTACTCAGGGCTTGGGCCATGTACTTCCTGATCTAACTTTAGTTTGGTACTTCTGGGAACGGCTAAAGAGCATGAGGGACTCCAAGATACAACTAGGAAAGACTGTACAGGATGACCCCATATTGCGAGAGGTAGAAACAATGATGAGCTTCGATGGATGCAGTCCAGGGTGGGCTTTGATTAGTAAAGGGCCATCAGATATGGTCAAAGCCAATGGTGATACCTTCGTGATGTGTTTGGATAAGTTCGACCAATGGAAAGAAGATGTCCCGGTGAAAGGCTTTGTGCAAGCAATTATCGATCATCTATAATATTATCCCCTTCATTTACTCCTTGATTTACACAATTAGGTTGATTGTCAAAGATTTCCCTAACTATTGTCTTTTTTTTTTTTTTTTGAGGGAACCCTAACTATTGTCTAATGTACCTAGACATATACTCTAATGTATCTAGTCATAGTCCAATGCTTACTTATGTACTATAAATACTTTTGTATACCTCTTCAATAAAATTAAGGTTTCCAACATTTTCTTTCTCATACTCTATGAGCTTGAAATGTTATTCTTTTCTTTACTCAGTTTAACAATTTCTTTTAAGGCATTACTCACTTCAACATCAAATCAACTCAACTAACATTACATATTTTTCTACAAAAATTTCCCATTCTTATACATTAAGAGTACTGTATTAACACGTACAAGTTGTACTTTTTTTTAACAATGTGAAAAAAGGAGACTAGCTCACAACCATTTCATGTATGCATACTTACGAAAGAATACATGTAACTGTATACATACTTACAAAAGAATATATATTTTTCTTCATTAAAGACGAGCACGTAAAAAACATACAAGTTGCAACATCGTGCCGTGACAAATACAAGTTGCAACATCGTGCCGTGACAAATACAAGGACTTTAGTTAATTAGTTTAATACAAGGCTTATTAAAAATTCATTTACTTTTAATAAAATGACTTAAAACTCCATTAATCTAATTTTGTCAAGTATTACTCTCTTCTTGAACTCAACAAACAGCAGTACATATGGCTGATTCCTCTCCTCTTCATCAAAAACCAAAATCAATGAAGTCTTACTAGCTTCCGACAACGACGTTATGACTATTACTAATGATAATGATGACCAAGAAGCTGAAGACTTTGTGCAAGCCATACAACTTGTGCAATCAGGCGTATTGCCTTGGGTGTTGCACACGGCAATGGAGCTCGATCTCATTGGCATCATTGCAAGATCAGGTCACCGGCTATCTGCGACCGATATTTCAGCTCAACTCGCAACCACTACGAAGAACCATGATGCCCCGTTGATGTTGGATCGTATGCTTCGACTCCTTGCTACTTATTCTATCATCAGTTGCTCGGTTGTGCGCTCCACAGACGTCAATGGTGAGTCGTCCGAGAGGCGGTATGGACTAGGGCGGCTTTCTAAGTTCTTTCTTCCCGATCAAGGTGGGGCGAGCCTTGGCCCGCTTCTCGCCTTGTTTATGGACAAGGTCGTACAAGCCACATGATTCGTCTTTTTTACCCTTTTATATACGTAGTATTACTGCCTCCAATTCTTTAAGATCGTTCTATCATTGCCCTCTTTTGTAAATCTGCTTGCAACCCCACTTGCACTCTCCTTCTCTTTTCACGATTACATATCTAAGTATCAAACCCACTTATACTCTATCTCTTTTTAGTAGTCACGTTTTTTTAGTCACATTTGTCAATGCACAAATTCAATCATTAATATTTTTATTTACTAATAATTAAACAAAAATTATAAAACATTTATTATAATTTAAAAATATATATCGTGACAAATCTATAAGATCTCATATGACGATATTTTTTGTCACGTATAAGTCACAAAAGACGGTCAAAATAAAGTGTGTGAATAGTGCTAAAATCACAACGTATCAACTAAGAAAACGGAAAGTGTGTGAATAGTGCCAAAATCACAACGTATCAACTAAGAAAACGGAGGTAATACACTAAGTCACTAATACTATATACTCCATATTAGTTACCCGTGTATTTTATAACGAATTGTACCTAATATTTTACATCGACCCTTACAACATCATCTTGGTTAAAAAGGTATCATTATCTTAAAATTCACGGAATTTAATGGTACTATGGTAGTAGAGGGATTGTCAATTGTGTATGTTGACTTTTTCGAGATCACAATTAAGAGCTCTGCAAAGCCGCCAAGCACGTTATCTAGCAAAATGCACATTGTGTTTTCTTGAATGGATTACTATATCTCATGATTTACATCACCATGTATTTTCCTATATTTTAATGTCAACACAAAAGAAACAAAATGAAGGAAAGTAATCTCGAATCTAACATATCACCATACTTTTACAGGACTAAGTTGAAAGATGCAATTTTAGAAGGAGGAATCCCCTTTAATATGGTTCATGGAGTTCATGCATTTGAATACCAATGTTTAGACCCGAGGTTTAACGAAGTTTTCAACAAAGCATTGTCCAACTGTCCAAACATCATCATCAAGAACATCCTTCAAAAATATAATGGTTTTGAAGGTGTCAAACTACTTGTCGACACGTTGGTGGTGGCTTTGGACACACTCTTCATGCTATTATATCTAAACATCCCTCCATAAGAGGCATCAATTTTGATCTGCCACACGTCATACTTAATGCCCCTTCTTACCATGGTATATCTATTTACATTTTGGCGACCTTCACAGTCTCCAATGCACATATTAACGTATGCTAATAATTATTTTATTGAAGGTGTGGAGCATGTTAGTGGAGACATGTTTGAAAGTGTTCCTAAAGGAGATGCCATTCTTATAAAGGTAAATTACGCATTTAATTTTCTTATAGTTATTTTTTTTTTCTTTTTGTTAATGTGGTCTAATACTCTAATACATGCAATGTAAACTTCGTCCCAATTCGATCAACTCCCATAGTTAGTTAACATTATGAAAGAAACTCTACTAAAAATGCTACATCATTTCACGTACAATCAACTCATGTTATACGTACCATTACATATACGACAGTGGGTTCTTCAAGATTGGAGCGATGAACAATGCTTAAAACTGTTGAAGAATTGCTACAAAGCGATACCAGACACCGGGAAGCTGATAATCCTGGAATCAATTGTCGAAGAAGAGGCTGAAACTACAGTGGTAGCAAAGGCAATTAGCCAAATGGATGTCTACATGATGATCAAGAATCCAGGAGGTAGGGAAAAGACGCACAATGAGTTTTTGGCTTTGGCTAAAGCAGCTGGTTTTGCAGGCATTAGAATTGATTGCCAAGTTGGTCAAATTTGGGTCATGGAATTTTATAAATGATGACTCTTTTATAAATCAAATTACGTATGGGAATTATATGAATAATTTATGTACCGAGTGTTACAATATTTGCTTCAGATTGTTAGTCGTTAGGCCACTTAATAATGTATAGGACTATTTTACTAGTAAGTAAGAGTTTAATTTATGATTAATTTGTTTTAGTGGAGTCATAAGAGTAATGGGTCTAAGTTGTTGGTGGTATAGCGTATGATCATGGGATAATGTTCCTACCTTTTAGCTTTAATTAATTTGTTTTATCTTTCCCCAATATTATTTTGAAAAAAACACCATTGATTACTTTTTAGTACAAATCGTTGTATGTAGTAGAAAATGAAATTTGTATAGTACATGGTACACCCATGGTACACCCGAAAGAACATTACCCATAAATAAAAGAACATAACGTATAAATAAAAGAACATAACTTATAAATAAAAGAACATTACATATAAATATATTCTTTGAATTTATAAAATAATGGGCATATAAAAAATTCTTAGTTATAGTAATTTATTATACATTACAAACGAACATAAAATACATCATGTTTTCTGAAAAGGAACATTACATATAAAATAAAGAACATTATATATAAATAAAATAACATTAAATTTATCTCGATGTCATTTTATTTATATGTATGTACTTTTGGGTGTACCATGCGCATAGTACACCCGCCTTTACCAATTGACGATTGAGTAGAAAATCCTTGATCGAAACAACAACAAATTAAGTTTCCTCCATGAATAATCAACCCTTTCGCGTCAGCCACAACGTGATGTTGATGAAAACACTCTTTTCCTTGGCCATCGAGACTCGAACAAGTTCAGTATACCGTAAGAACAACTCTTCAATGATGGATTCTCCAAAATGATTTATGAGTAAAGGCTCAGTCACAGATCTCATGCACTTGACAAAGTCATAATGAGATGAAGCCGCCTTAGAAGAATTTTCACAATTATCATCTGCTTCCCAGTTAACTTCGGAAATATGAATTTGATTTACAACAAATGATCCTTCTTTCTCCACCAAAAAGCGTAGCTCCGCCTCTGATGGCGTGTAATTAGGGATGTTAGATGTATTTAGCTTATCTTCATCTATGAAACCCTGTATAATTATTACTTTTACAAAAGTATAATGTATAATATTAATGTTCTAAATTTGGTTAACTTAATCCATGCTTGAATAAAGGAGAAAACTATATATTGTGTATTTTACTTCACTTTTTATGGACTTTAGTTCATGTTCACTTCACCTTATAATGAGAATATTCAGTAAAAATAATTTCAATTCAATTATAATAATTTCAATTCACCAAAAATAAGGTGAGGTAAACAGACCTCAAATAGCTTTTAATAGAAAGTTAATTACGAAAATTCAGCCATATACAAATTTTAGTGATGGATCATTAACCAATTTATAAAGTCCCACACATTTCGAATTGATTTTGATAGGGATAGTATTAAATACCTCAGAAACCATATCTTTAAGCGCAGTAGCAAGAAGATCAAACATATGACTTGATTCCTTACTATATAGTTCACTACTTTTTCTTCCCAATATAGTAAGCACCATTATACCTCCTTCAACTACTTCTTCGGACCGACATTGTAGAAACATTGAAAAGTCCTTTTGAAACTGCTTATAGTAAGCTTCAAGCACATTAGATGGGCTTGTCTTTGCTATGTAAATGTTCCCCTTGTTGTCCATTATATCTTCCGGTACCTTAAATATCATGACAAAATGGCATATGTACAATTATGACAATATAACTACGTATACAATTTACTATACAAATTAAATTTAACATAAGAGCATCCACGTTGATAGGCAACCCTAACGATCTCTTCATTTGTTTATTCTAATAAGGTTATGAACATCTCTATTTTATCAATATATCACAATAATCACTAAAGAGTATATGAATCAATCTTGAACTTCAACCATCAGCTTAACTTTTTGGTTCTGATGAATTTTTAACATAGTATCGGAATTAACGTGACACAAAAATCACAGGTTCAAATCTCATTTCCCCCCCCCCCCCCACACACACACACACTTTTAAATGGAATATTTTGCACTGCGCATGTAGGGTCCATGTTGCATCCACACTTCAACCCTAACAAACTCGTGATAAAGTATATAATTAAATCAATTTCGGGCTTCAACTATTAGCATAAATTCTTGTTTGAATTGGTCCTTTAACAATATAATCACACCTATTAATCTTAATTATCATACATTAATTGAAAACTAGTCTTAATCAAAAGACTAAAAATCTTACAAAGATAGACAGAGATATAACCTGAGATAGCCACTGGAGGCTATATGAAGAATGGACAAATTGTAAATGATTTTCAGGGAAAAGCCTGCCATAGAAAGTTCCAGGGACCCCATTTATATAACATCTACCAAAATCATCTCCTAAGTGTTGCTTAAGCATATCTTTAAAGCTTCCTAGTGACCTAAAGATGGTGTTGAAATCGTTCCCCGGGAGATCATTTAGGTAAATTTGATAGTCTTGGGGTCCTTTTCCTAGTTCTCGACGAGCTTTGTCAACGATGACTATGAGATCGAACACGACATTCAAGCTGTTTGCCGAGGAACACCCCATGTCTGCAATGCATAAGGTTGCTGGTTGATTCTTGCAATAGAACTCTTTCATAGCTTTCTCTTTTATGTGTTTTGTCAATGATAGCACTTGTTTCTGTTGCCAAAAAAAAAAAACAATCTTTCTGATAACTATTATTAGTTGATTAAAGTAAAATTTAGTGCATGTATGTATTTAAGTGCTCGCTCGAATTGAATCAATTAACCGTTTCCATTTCTAAATGGTTAGCATGAATGTTAGGGTAACACACACATGGTAACAAAATTAGCTTTTGCCTTAGACAATGTCATGGTTCGTTATGATATAACATTAAAATCATCATTAAGAATTTAATAACTCTATCGTAATTCGTAAACATATAATTATGATGGTATTAAAAAATAAAGGTAGTTAGGTAAGAAATAATAATTATATTTTTATTACAAAAAAGTAAGTTAGGTAAGAAAAAAAAACAATTATAAGAATACATATACAACTATACAGGTAAATATTATTGTCGATCGGTTGTGCCGATAAAGATGGTCTAAAATTTTGACCTAGTCAAAGGTGTTTTTGAGCTTTGCCATAAAAAGAAAGGTGTTTTTGAGTTTTGCCATAAATTGTTGTCGATCGGGTTTTTTTCATACATAATTTCCCTCTACCCACTTCTGTTGCATGCGTTTCAAAAATATAGTCTCAGTTTCTATTTTAAGTCCTTATTATTATTAAAACTTCCTCTATCCTTTTATTAGATGCATATTTCTAACATTTATTACTCACATAATAAAGAGAAATAGGCTTTTAATTTAGAGACGGAGGGAGTACATCTTTTTTATTTTCCTATATTACCTTTATTTTAATATATATTTTCAATATAATAATTTTCTATAATACTTTAACCTGTTAGGGTATTTATACATGTAAAGGACGAAACAGTATTTTGATTGTATTAGGTCTTATGTATATATATATATATATATATATATATATATATATATATATATATATATATATATATATATATATATTGACAAGGCTCTCTATGGAGGGTGAGCCGTATTTTCCCAAATACTCGTACATGGTATCAAGAGCTCTAGGGTTCTAAAAAGAAAAAGAAATTAAAATCAGTTTCTAGGACTCGATTATATACAAAAATTAATGGTCAAAGATGTGTCTTGATTATGTATAGTAAAACAGAGGTATTATTTTTCAAATGCAATAAAAATTTGGATTATAAGCTAAGATATACAAAATATTTTGCATCAAATATACAAATTTTCATCAAAATCACCTAATTTAAGGGATTGAGAGGAGTAGGGGAGCAGAAAATCTTGCATGAACCTGGTCCACAATAATAATATTATTGTGGACCTAAAGTTTATATACACGCAACTAACTCTATATTGAACATAGTGACTTTAATTTTAACATAGTAATCTTATTTTTAACATATTAACTTTTCTTAAAACTTGTGTGACCTTGATTGTTACTCCCTTCGTGTTTTAATAAGTGTTACAGTTTGACCAAACACGCATGCGGAGACACTACTTTGACCATTAATTTATCTAATTATATGTTAGTAAAATCATAGGAAATTATACATTATAACAAATCCAACAATATATTATATAATAACATTTGTTTTTTATATATTGGTAAATTAATCAAATCAAAACCATTATGTGAATAGTGAAAAAAGTCAAACTGTAACACTTATTAAAACACGGAGGGAGTATTGTGAACTTAAAGTACGATGCTATATTTAATAGTGACCTAATTTTAACATAGTGATATTTATTCTTTATTATTATTCGTATTGACCATTATTTTTTAAAAAAAAAAAATCATTAAAAAAATTAACCTCTTATACCTTTTATAATGTCACAATGACTTTTATTTCAACATAATAACCTTTATTTCTAATATAATGACCCTTTTTTTTTGTTAATAAAACAATCATAATGTCTCTGTTTTTATAATATAATGACCCTTACTATATTATAATGTTATCATGTGAATCTTTCTTTGGTTATACTTATTCATTTTATTTAAATTTAAAGGGAATAAATTCAATTACGTAACAAATATAGCAATGATGTATCAAAACTTGGAGCTAAAATTTCTCATTACTTTATTTTTTTTAGTACGTATTCCTTCTATCCTTTTTTTTTAAACTCCATTTAATTTTTTATAGTCTCCAATAGGTGTCTTAAAACGTATAAATCATCATTTCCATAAACGTAAAAATTATAAAAACGTGATACTAAAAAATATACAATGTAACGAATCTAACAAGACCCCCACATAACTATATTATCTCTTGTGTAATATATGATCAAAGTTTTGAAAGTTTAACCCAAACAATGGCAATGAGACAAAAAGAAAAGGACAGATGATGAGACGAATCTAGCATGATTATACGTGATTATATATTTGTTTTTCTGAAGTAAAATTACAAAAAGGTAGAAATTCAAGAGAGAATATGTATATAGTGCAAAATTCTGACCAAAAAATAGTTTACTCCGCAGTTAGTATAAAATATTAAAGAGCAGAAGAAGTAAATGTCATTAAAGAAAATACCTGAATATAGGATGTTTTTGCATAACTGGTTTCGTCAGTCCCTTCCTTCATGTGTATCACCTGCTTTATATCAATTGTCGTCACCATTTTCAAATAATGAGCAAGTAAGATACTTATGCAAAAAACAATGATCTTGTTATTGAGTTCTATAACGTCTATAATAGTACCATTTATAATAATGAAATTTGTGGGTACAAATGTGTTGTAAGAAAAACTATATATATATATCCAATCAAAATAAAACAAAACACGTATATATAAGACAATGTTTTGTAGTCCGTATGACACGCAAACTTCACGCATGTCACGCGAATTTCTCAATTTAATTTTTACTTTAATCTTTTACGCTTGTTAAACCATAAATACCTTTTTACGATTTATTCAAGCTAAGGCCTCAACCTCCAAGGAGCCGACACGTGATAATTCAGTGTTCAACGTCTAATTTCTATAGGTCAATAAATGTCTTATTCACCCTTAATTAATTATATGAAAATCACAAATGTCCAATTTAAAGAGAGTAGAAAATTAAATTGTCATTTCCTTACCTACTGTACACCTTTAATAAAATTGCATGTCAAATTGTCAATTGCCAATTTGAAGGAATAGCAGCTCTTAATAAACGTAATTAGGAAGTACATTTATTGGTGAAAAAACGTGAAACAAATTATTCCATAAAACAAAAACATCAGCATTAAATTCTAATAAAATCGTCATCAAAAATGAAAAAAATATGCAAATAAATAAGTCACACCACTTTCAGAGGGCCGAATGCAACATGGTCCTCAGTACATGACCCCAAAGATATGTGGCCTTAAATATCTGGGCCTTATATGATTGAACCGACTAATTCCATACCTTTTCAGTCACTTTTATCATTCATGTACGTAGAATGATGTTACGAGTATATTAATGCCCGTCAAAAAATGTTATATTAATGCCATACCTTAAATATCTGGGCCTTATATGATTGTACATTTGTACCAACTAATTCCATACCTTTTCAAAGTATTTTCTGAAATATATTAATGCCACAAAAGTGAGTAATGAAAGATTTATAAAAGCAACTATCACAAAAAAAAAAAAATGCTATTAAAAAATCATCAAATAAAAATGAATAAACTAAATAAGAGTTTTGGAGCAAAGTATGTAAAAAAATAACTTTGTGTTTAAAGGGAAGATTAAATCCCAAAATAAAATTAATTAAAATGCAAATCGCACGATCGAGTTCAAATTCAATAGTATGAATTCAAAGCTTCTTATGATCTCTAATAATATTTATAAAAAATAAAAATGTAATTAAAACCTTCAAGTGTACTCCCTCCTTTCTTACTTGTTTATCTCACTAATATTTTGATCAAACTTTAAAGGGTAATGATATATGTAGCCTTAGTGCTATATATAAGCATTTAATATATTTTTGTAAATGGAATTAAGTTGGAAATTCATGACAAAATCACACGTAGATCGGTATATTTAATGTTATTTTATCTTTAATATTTCCTCTTTAAGCTTCTTATACATAGCCCTAAGAGCTATGTTTATCATTTTCCAACTTTTAAAAGATTTGACCAATAATTATTGTTAATTCATAAGAGATAATATAGTCATGTAAAATCTTGTTGGATTTTTCTTATTATTGTACTTTATATTTATGTCAAGCTTTAATTTATATACTGTAAAACCTTTGACCAATAATTTAGGTTCATATAAAGGGGCATCAATTTATATCCTTCTTATTTTTTGGAATCATCATATTATTTGATATCCCTTTTACATAAACAGAATTAAGGATCACTAAATATTCCATTCTACACCTTTATTTGGATAGTATCAATGTATAGAATACAATTTATATATGATGATAGGTAATTAGATATAATAACTCGATTTATTAAAGGCATGATTTTTAAAATTGACATATTGTGACATTTGTAACATAAGTTTGGCCTGGCAATCTTTTGTCAAATATTAAAAGGCATTTAGACTTCAATTGTTAAGTTCACCATACACATAATTGTTGATTAGTTATTTTTTTGGAAAACAATATTATAGTATTACTTTTTTAATTTGCAAAAATCTTGCTAGTGACATGCCAGATTAAATAAATAATTTATATTTTATAGGTCATTGTTCGTTGATATTTAATTAGTTGAATCACATTTCTAAATAAATACTTCATGACATAAGCTTGGCATATATCGTTTTGTAATGTAATGATCGACCTATATTGTATACGGTCATAACCTTCTGTTAATAATAAACATGTTAAAGTCTTCAATGTAATTCAGATAAATTATTAATAGTCAAATTAAATTTGCATTGATAATCTAATGAAATTAAAATTGTTTAATGATAACATATAAAAATATAATCACAAAAGTCATAATCATAGATTCATAGCATTCAATATGATTACAAAACTCTTTATGGTTGTAGATGAATAAACAATAAAACTGCTTGTTATAGGTAATGTCCTATTAGCATATTACCTAAAACAAAAACAAGATTTAAACGTTAATCTTCGTTTTTTTTTTTTTTTTATATCAAACAAGGTTTTGAAGAAAATTTTATAGTTTCTTCCAAGTTTGCTTCACAAACACATATAATAGCCGATTTTGCATCCCTTGATTGAGATTGTCCAATCAAATGTATTATTCTAGGATTAATAAACAACCCAGATTTGCACAAACCCCGATTTTCGAAAACAAAAAAAATTCGCAGATGGTGTGTAGATCGGGGCATATGTTCATTCTCCGTCAATGCGTGAGTGAATTTAAGGGATAAAGATCATGAATTGGTGGTTAATTTCATCCATGGATGTAGAATCTTGAAATGAAGAACATTAAAAAACAATGAAAAACAATTTTTATATTTTAATTTAATCTTATTTTTGGATTTTATTAAAAAGTGATTTTAATAAAATAATTGTGAAAATAAAAAAATATTTTCAAAAAGTCAGAAATTATTTTTCAAAAAAAAATGAATTAAAAAAATTAAAAAAAAAAAAAAAAAAAAAAAAAAAAAAAAAAAGAGAGAGAGATATGACCAAGCATTTAAAATAAATGAAAAATCAACCAATAGGATTTAAGAATAGTGATGGTCATTTTAAGTTTGACATAGTAGAATTTTTAAAAATTATTATATTCAAATTTTTTTTTTATTTTGATCACTTAAGTCATAATTCTTAGAATATATCAAAGGTAGTATTCCCTCCATCCCTAAATTAGAAGCCTATTTCTTTATTATGTGAGTAATAAATATTAGAAATAGGCTTCTAATAAAGGGACAGAGGGAATACATTACTTGAAGTCATTGCTCTAAGGTCGATAATTCCTTTATGAAAATACTTCATCCGCTTCTTAAATAATGCAACACTTTGACTTTTTACACTGTTTATATTATAATTTTGACCACTATTATTTTTTGATGTACAATGATAATTAATGTCATAATTTTAACTATTATTGGGTTGATCTCAATATATTGAATTATCAAACTTTTTAATTGTTGCTAATATAGAATTATAAATCAAAGATATAGATTATATGATCAAAGTAAGTTTATAAAGTATAGATGTAAAAAGTCAAAGTGATTATTCTATTGAGAAACGAAGAAACAAGTGATTTACGAGCACTATATAGTGCTAATGACTTTTTTTTAACCAAAAGATCGATTATCTATTTCCATATCCTATTATGACATGGTAGTGGCATGGGTAGCGTAGTGGCATCTATCTATATAGTACCAAGAATAATAGCAAAAGCTTGAAACACAGTACAAGATGTATAAGATTCAAAACATATTTATAAACAATTTCACCATCTCATTAAATTTGTCGATAATAAAAAAATTAAACAGAAAACATTAGAAAATTCCAAGAATTACTTCCTGAAGTTTTTGGACCTCTAAAGAACACAACAAACAAAGAAGAACGTAACAAAGCTTAGATGAGCTTATTTTTTAGTACCATTTAAATTGTTGTAGAAAATCCTTGTTCAAATAAACAACAAGTAATTGAGTTTCCTTCATGAATAATCAACCCTTTCGCGTTAGCGACACCGTGACATTGATGAATACACTCTTTTCCTTAGCCACCGAGACTTGAACAAGTTCGGTATACCTTAAGAAAATTTCTTCAATGATAGTTTCTCCGAAATGAAGTATGAGAAAGGGTTCCGCCACTGATCTTACACATTTGACAAAGTCATAATGTACGGCCGTAGAAGAGTTTTTGTTAAGATCATTTGCTTCCCAACTTACTTCAGAAACATGATCTTCATTTAGAGTAAATGATCCTTCTTTCTCCACCAAAAATCTTAGCTCTGTTGCTGATGGAGTGTAAATAGGGATATTGAATTTATTAAGCTTCTCTTCCTCAATGAAACCCTACATAAGTTTACAAATTATAATTATACGAACTGTACTGTTTCCTTTCAACAAAAAATATTTCCTTCGTTCTTTTATGTTCTACTTAGTTACTGCAAATAAGTAATAATACTCATAATAATTACTACGAGTAATTTTCCACCATGTTATACCATCACTCACTTTTTTTCCTTTGTTAACCTTTTTTTATTTTTTATTTATTTTTAATCATCGCATCTTGGTTCTAATTTTGTGGTTCCCTATTCCTAATTTTAAAATGTTTGCACATATCTATATATTAAAATCTCGCTTACATCATTTACCTTGTGTAACTCTCTCTATCTACACCAAAATCAAACAATAATCAGTCTTTGGTAAGAACCATATATCATCATCATTGAGCGTGGTAGTTAAAACTGTAAAGGATAATGATAACTATATCATCTTTATCATTATTAGTTATTGTTTATAGTTTTGTGTTAATCCCTTGGTTTAGTCATTTAGGTTGATAGTCAAAGTTCTTCCTAACTCTTAACTAATTTATCCAGACAAATGTACCTAGTCATATTTTATTAATTTCTCATGCACATTAAGCTTTCCACCATTCTCTTTTTCATAACTCTATAAACATGTATCGAAGAAGGTGCACTAAGATGATAGAGAATTAGAGATTGATGGTATGTAGTATTTACCTCAATAACCATGTCATTAATCGCGGTAGCAAGAAGATCAAACATGTTACAAGACTCCTTACTATAAATTTCACTGCTTTTCCTTCCTAATATAGTAAGCACCATCATCCCTCCTTCTATTACTTCTTCGGATCGACACCTTAGAAACATTGAAAAATCCTTTTCAAATTGTTTATAGTAAGCTTCAAGCACATTAGATGGACTTGTTCTTGCTAAGAATATGTTCCCTTTGTTGTCCTCTATCTCATCTGGCACCTGATTCAATCATGTTCAAATTCTACAACTTTAATATTACAAAATAACAATAAATAATAATACTACACTTATTGTTGTGTATTTTATTGCACAAAGTTTAATTATCATATACAAGTACTTATTTTAACTCATTACTCATTATGTACTTTATAGTTTATAATTTGTATGATTCCAAGAAAGAGAGAAATGTCGTATGAATTATTAGCCCATTTTTGTCAACGGTTAGGAAAAGAATCTTTATCAAATCTTAACTCTAGCAATTTCTCCATCTATTGAGTTGCTTCCTTAGTACTTCCTCGTTTCACTTTAGTCGATATATGAAGTATTTATTTAGGCACGTTTTTCAATACATTCAATTATTAATCAATGAGCAGAAAATATACGAAGTAAAAGTATCTTACGTACGCTACGAAGAATCGAAGATAGCTTAGAGATTTTACCTGAGATAGCCAATGTAGGCTATATGAAGAATGGACAAATTGCAAGTGGTTAGTTGGAAAAAGCCTACCATAAAAAGAGCCAGGAACACCATTCACAAAACAATACCCAAAATCATTTCCTAATTGTTGTTTAAGCTTATCTTCAAAGCATCCCAATGACCTAAAGATGGCGTTAAAATCGTTCCTTGGGAGATCATTCAAGTAAACTTGATACTCTTGGGGGCCATTTTCGAGCCCTCGACGAGCCTTATCGATGGTTGCTAGGAGATCGGACACCACAGTCAAGCTATTAGCCATGGAACACCCCAAGTCTGCTATGCGTAAGGTTGCTGGTTGTTTCTTGCAATACAACTCTTTTATTGCTTTCTCTTTTATATGTTTCGTTAACGATATCACTTGTTTCTGTTGCAAAGAAATAAAAGAATATATTAATTTTCTATTGATAAGTATTAGCTGATAAAGTTATGAAATTAAATGTTTGTGTATTGTACAATACAAAGTATTAATGAATTAGTTGGTCTAAATATGTATTACTACTTATGTTTTATTTGATCATCTACTAGCTAATATGTATATAAAACATTTTTGTGTCTACCATTTACGAAGTATTTTTCTAAAAATAATTTGACAAGTAAACGTCGAAAAAAAAAAGGGAAAAGTACACGATTGGTAAATGGTAAGACGTAAAAATAGTTAACGACCTTACCTGCATATAGGATGCATTAGCGTAACTGGTATCATCTTGCCCATCTTTCATGTGAAGAACTTGCTCTATCTCGACTTCCATCACCATCTTACCACTCTCTTTCTTTCTTTCTTGTTTTGATATTGTATTTCTATACTTTTAGGCTCTTAAGCTTGTAGCTTGCTTAATTTTATGGGTTCACTATTTGTACAATTGCACTTATATAATAGTGTCAATATTGTATACGCTACATTATGACAACATTTTTAATACTCGTAGTAGTTAGCAACTTAGCATTAATGTTAAATTCAAATATTAAACTGGTTTTTGTCTGCTGCTTTGCATCTTCTTTTGGTAATAATATTCTCTATTTACCAAAAAAAAAAAATATTAAACTGGCCATACGTGTTGAAATACTTAATTTATTTGGGTTGACATTTAGCAATTTTTATTTAATATCAATTATAAAACATCTAGAAAATAAACTATTTTTGCGGAAATTGTAGTATATGTTTTATAAAACATCTGGAAAATAAAACATCTACAATTTCCGCAAAAATAGTTTATTTTCTAGATGTTTTATAAAATATATACTTCATATTAAATAAAAATCGCTAAATGTGAACAAAAATAAATTAAGTATTTCAACGTGTATGGCCAGTTTAATATTTGAATTTAACATTAATGCTAAGTTGCTAACTACTACAAGTACTAAAAATGTTGTCATAATTTAGCGTATACAATATTGATACTATTATATAAGTGCAATTGTACAAATAGTGAACCCATAAAATTATATAAGAGCAATTTAGTCATGTTCTTCAGCAGATTTATTATCCGCATATGAAGTATATGTTTTATAAAACATCCAGAAAATAAAACATCTACAATTTCCGCAAAAATAGTTTTTTTTCTAGATGTTTTATATAATATATACTTCATATTAAATAAAAATTGCTAAATGTGAACACAAATAAATTAAGTATTTCAACGCGTATGGCCAGTTTAATATTTGAATTTAACATTAATGCTAAGTTGCTAACTACTACGAGTACTAAAAATGTTGTCATAATTTAGCGTATACAATATTGACACCATTTTATAAGTGCAATTGTACAAATAGTGAACACATAAAATTATATAAGAGCAAATTGGTCATGTTCTTCAGCAGATTTATTATCCGCACATGAAGTATATGTTTTATAAAACATCTACAATTTCCGCAAAAATAGTTTTTTTTCTAGATGTTTTATATAATATATACTTCATATTAAATAAAAATTGCTAAATGTGAACACAAATAAATTAAGTATTTCAACGCGTATGGCCAGTTTAATATTTGAATTTAACATTAATGCTAAGTTGCTAACTACTACGAGTACTAAAAATGTTGTCATAATTTAGCGTATACAATATTGACACCATTTTATAAGTGCAATTGTACAAATAGTGAACACATAAAATTATATAAGAGCAAATTGGTCATGTTCTTCAGCAGATTTATTATCCGCACATGAAGTATATGTTTTATAAAACATCTACAATTTCCGCAAAAATAGTTTTTTTTCTAGATGTTTTATATAATATATACTTCATATTAAATAAAAATTGCTAAATGTGAACACAAATAAATTAAGTATTTCAACGCGTATGGCCAGTTTAATATTTGAATTTAACATTAATGCTAAGTTGCTAACTACTACGAGTACTAAAAATGTTGTCATAATTTAGCGTATACAATATTGACACCATTTTATAAGTGCAATTGTACAAATAGTGAACACATAAAATTATATAAGAGCAAATTGGTCATGTTCTTCAGCAGATTTATTATCCGCATATGAAGTAATGTTGTCATAAATTGTGAACACATAAAATGTTGTCATAAATTGCTCTCAACAAAAACCCTCAAAAACTCCGATGCGGATAATAAATCTGCTGAAGAACATGACCAAATTGCTCAATCAGATAAGAAACCAAAACGAAAGATTAATCATTTAATATTTAACAATCAAATTGATGAAGAAATGTCTGAAGCTGAAGCTGTGGGGGATGGAAACAATGCTGAAAATTGCAATGAAAGTCCAATCCCCAGGACCATTGATGGATCGCATTCCTTCAAAGATATGCTTCGAGGTGATTCTCGTAATCCAACAAGAACTCATGTTGTCCATGATTTAATTGACATTGATGTGGAGGATATCTTTGATGATGAAATGGCACCAGAGGGAATCCTTATGTATGATCGTTGTCCTGTGATTTAATTGACAAAGGAGGAAAAGAGGAGACTTAGGCAACCATGGATGAATTCCCTAATCATAAAACTCTTTAGTGGAAAACTAGGCCACATGGGGTTAATGAGAAGATTAAAGAAGAAATGGAATATTAAGGGGGAATTAGCTCTGACTAACATTGGATGAAGCTACTATATATATTGCCAGATTTTCAAATCAAGCATATTATAATTATGTGCTCACACAAGGTCCACGGATGCTTGATGATAATTACCTTACAATTCGTAAATGGGTACCCAACTTTGTGCCTGATGAATCCCCCATTAAAGTTCTCGAAGCCTGAGTTCGTATTCCTAATCTACCAGTGGAATATTTTGACATCAATTTTATTTCTCAACAAAATTGGGTCTAAGATTGGCAAAGTCTTGCGAGTTGACAAAACCACAGCACAAGTTGAGTGTGGACAATTCACTTCTTAGTGTAGAGATTGATCTCTCTAAATCACTCTTATCAAAATTCTGGCTATAGGGCAGGATTTGGAGAATACAATATGAAGGCATTAAAATGGTATGCTTTAAATGTGGTAAACTAGGCCATATTGCTGATAATTGTGATCCAAAAGTTACTGAGGAACAAGCAATGATGACATGGTTATTTATGACAATCCCCTGCATGAACAAAATCAGAAATCAGAGGAGGTGGAAGACTTGGGATCATGGATGCTTGTCAAAAAACCGACTCGTAAGAAGAACCTGAAAGTAACTAACAACTTAGAGGTGGCTGCCAACACCACTACTAGTGGACCAAAAGGCCCAGATAAGAGTGGTACTAGGCTAGAACAACCTAGGGTTGAAAAAGAAAATAATTTTCAAAAAAAAAATTGACTAGCGGCAATCAAGGAATTGGGTCAAGATTTTCAGCTTTGGAGATAGAAACTAATGACCAAGATGAGGAACAAAATAAGGAATTGGAAGATTTAGAAAATAATTCTCATGATAAGGAGGGATTTAGTTTCCCACCACTCAATTTAGGGGATAATTCTCAGAAAAATAAATCAAAAGATAATATTGTTCCCAAATTAAGAGTAAAAAATATCTCTTCTAGTCAACAAAATCCAAAACCGAAAAAATCTACTTCCAAAAGTTATCAAGAGAAGAATAAAAATCCAATTTCTCAAGATACTGAGAAGCCAAGCCAAGCTAGTCCGGAGCAAATTTCATCTGTTAGTCATGTTCCCAACACCGACCTTAACCGACCACTGAAAACTCTGTTCGTTGGACACCCAATGGAGCAGCCTTACCTGATGACCACAACCCCCATGACTCATGTTTTGTAGGTGAATCTAGACTCGTTCCTACCGCCAATCTCGAATCCCAAGGAGTTAATTGCTATGCTGAAATTTCCAGTTGAGTTGCAACGTTTGTTAACACTCATTAGCCAAGCTTATGTATCAACCCTTCCTTCAATCCCTGTTTCTATGGAAGAAAGTTTACCAAATTTGGCTCCGGATACTCTACTAATTACTTATATGGTGTGGAACGTACAAAGTGCATGAAGTTTGAACTTTATTAGTTCCTTGGAAGACCTAGTTCATACTCACAATCCTAATGTTTTGACTCTTGTAGGAACCCATATGGGTGGAGAACAAGCAGTAAAGATTGCAAACATCATTCGATATGATGGACATGAAAGAGTGGACGCTATGGGTTTTAGTGGAGGAATTTGGGTATACTGGAAGACAGATTTTGTTACAATTAGCCCTATTCTCAAGCATAATCAGCACATTACCATGAAAATTACTAGAGTTGGTGCAGTGCCATGGTATTTCTCTACAGTTTATGCAAGCCCTGATCCCATGAAAAGAAAAGAATTATGGGATGAACTAAGGAATTTTTCTAATCAGCATAATAAACCTTGGTTGATTGCGGGAGATTTTAATGACATAAGATTTCCCTCAGAAAGAAACACCTCATGTAAGGAGACGAATCGAAGGTCAGCTTTGTTCAACAATTGGGTTGAAGAGATGGATCTTATTGAGGTTGAGTTTTCAAGTGCTGCTCATACTTGGGCTCGTGGGCGTTCCTTGGAAACGAGATAAAGTGGTAGACTTGATAGAGCTTTGTGCAATGAGGAATGGGCTCTCCATTTTGAGAAGGCTTCTACGAAGCATTTGACTGCTATTCATTCCGACCACTACCCCATATTTATATATCTTAATGGCTTTGTCCCCTTGCAAGCATTACATAGGCCATTTCGATTTCAAGCAACGTGGATGTCTCATGAAAATTTCCGTGATTTTGTTGCGCAAAAGAGGGATAGCAGTAGCCCCTTGATGCCGGCTCTATCAAAACTCTCAACGTACCTTCAAGCATGGAATAGAGATACATTTGGCAACATTTTTGAGCAAAAAAGAACCCTTGTAGCACGAATAGGTGGCATTCAAAGAATCCTCTCCACTCGTCAAGATAGGGGATTATTAAGCTGGAAAGCAAACTTAGTCGTGAGCTTGATGATGTGTTATCTAGAGAAGAGACCTTATGGTACCAAAAGTCCCGGATTGATTGGTTAAAAGTTGGAGACAGAAATACGACCTTTTTCCATCTTAGCACCATTGTTCGTAGGTGGAAAAATCGTATTGCATGTTGCTATAAAAGGAAGTGATGGTGAATGGATTCAAGACAAAAACTTGATTAAAGAAAATATTGTGGGATACTTTTCAAAGTTATTCACAGAAGAAGGTGAGCCTAATCGGTTTAATGTGCCTCAAGATGTTTTCCCTGAGCTTTCTTTAGAAGATTGGAGACATCTTACCCGTTCTTATTCACGAGCTGAGATTAATATTGTGGTAAAATACATGGTTGCTCTTAAGGCGCCGGGCCTCGATGAATACCAAGCATTATTTTATCAAAAAAAAAAAAAAACTGGGACCTTGTAGCAAAAAATGTTTATGAAGCTATAATCTCGAT